GATTTTTAAAATTAATTTTTATTAAGATAAGATTAGCGCCATTTTGACTTCTGCACATGCTTCGGTAATGTTTCATTATTAACATTTTCACTGTGATGTATTCATCTAAAGAGTTAAAGGTTACAATCATTGTAATATATTCTCATTTGAATGATCGTAGGCGATGATTGATCTAAATAGTATATACTTAACTAATGGTACTCTTTAGGCGGACAACTTGACGTATTGTATATGCATTATATTGTAAATGCAACAATAAGGATCACTTCCTATTCTGTTTTAAAGCAGCCAACCGATTGTGACCGGGACAATAGCATTGCATGACAACAGTTAGAAGGAAAGTACGTGATGAACAAAGGTAAACGTCATTCTTGAATTTGCGTTTAATTTTCTGTAACTTTATATGGCACTTCCTCTTGGCGATTTCGTATCATTTTTTAAATCTAGATGGTTGCATTGTAAAGTAAAAAGTATGCTCGTATATCATTTTTCTCTCTTTATAGAAAATTATTCTTAAGAGAACTTTTACTGTATTTGAATTTTAAGGTTATTTGCTACTCTTCTTTCTCTAAACTTAGATTTTATTAGAATTAGTCAAAAATATAATAATAAAAAAAAGTATTTTTTATCAGAGCTACCTGACATATGTATTCATACACAAACATATATATAATATCAAAACAATTTTATCAATTTTTTTTATTACTGATAAATGATTAATATTTGAATGATTATTTGCTTAACTGACAGATATACAAGAGAATGACATACTTTTCGATAGATACACGAGAGAATAACATAATTCCTGAATGTGTTACTTTATTGTCACCTGGACATTAGAATTAGTTAATTTTGACATGCTACTTTTGCTTATCAATAAAATGATATTATGTAGCTTTTAAAGAAGCCGCGAGCTACTTCGCTTTCAGCGGGTACATGCATTTTATATAGCGTATGTATAAAAAGTACTTCACTTTCACCCATGTGCATTGTCATTTTATGTCTGGCTGGCTACTATCAATTAGAGTAAACATTAATCAACGAGGTCAACGTAAATCATTGACCGTATTATGTTTACACATATGCTTAATGTGAATTCCTTGTTATAAGCTTATTCCGTGCTAAATCGTTGGATCATTAAGTTAGGTGTGAACACAAACAAGGAAGTAGGCAACGAGACCTGCATGTAAAATCTTGTTTCGGAACGATTAGAACGGAAAAAAATAACGTACAGCGATTACCTCAATACTCAATAGTTTAAAGAAAATTTTGTTTTGTTAGAATTTTACACAAATTAATTATGCACTTTATTAAAATTAGTAGTTCCATTTGTATACAATACTAATCAAATAGATCATTAAATATTATATTAATTAGAATATTGAAAAAGATTTTAACAATGGCTTACTTAATAAAAAATTTTTCATACATGAATATGTATAAATATGTATAAACATAATAAATATTCATAAATATACATAATTTTACATTAAATATGGTATGTCCATACATGTTCATACATCCTTCTTTTTTTGTAAAATTAATTAATGTTTTAATTATTTTTTATGTTTTCACATTAGTATTGTTATTTCTATTACACTAAAAAGTAATTTTGCAAAAGAAAGAGGGATGTATATTTATGAATATTTATGTTTATACATACTAATGTATGAAAAATTTTTTACCGTGTAGAGAGTATAAGAAGTGCGTATAATTTTCCGACATATAGTTTTTCTTTAAAGAAAAATCAATTTTTTAGATTTCGATATTTTAAATAACGTTTACTTTTCGTATAAAAGATAATAAAAAAATACGTAAGAAGAAAATGGGCCATATTCATATAAAGTTTATTCACGATCGCGTAGTATTTTGAATTTTTATTAAATCGCGCGATCGTTTCCGCGAATGATGGCGCTCCATAGATCATTCTCGATCTCGATCTTGTACGCGAAGGGGCCGGACATTGCACATTCCTTGTAGACGTATTACGAGCTGTTGCGAGTTGCGATAACATCGAGTTAGGGTGCACCATGAAGGTGCGAATACATCCTTGCGAAGAAGTGGAAGGCACCTCGTTAATCCATTTCATTCTCGAGATAAACCTCTATTTTATTATTTTATCATACCAGGTAGATACTAGTTTACGACTTGTCTGATTGTATCGAGATTTTATAAGCAAATGTCCTCCCATTAAATTACATTTTTTTCCGTATGTCCTTATTGACTTTGGAATAAGAAAATTTTTTATTATATGTAATAAATAACTGTCGCTATTAGCAAAAGCGCTATTCTCTACGAATGGGGCACGTCTCACCGATAATAATAACTTTTCTCGAAATGTAGACGATTGCTTCGAACATCTTTTTATCGTCTTTTCACTATTTCCATCTTCACTCCGAGTCTTTTACGATAGCAGCAGAAATAGCTCCTCACGATCTAGTGTATATATGTGAATGATTGAACTTTCATTTCCATTCACATTGCCATTTATATCGCCGCGAGCGATTAATCCATTTCTCCTTTTAACGCGCGCGAGCATTACTACGTGTCTGATTTATTTTCGCTCACGTTCACCGATGTTTTTCCTTTCACCTCCCTTTGACGTGGCTACGGTCTCAACTGCTCGGTCAATTCCGCCTCCGGAGAGCACATCCTTTATCTTTTACGCGTGTACCCGGTTGCTTCTTCCTCTCGGCTGGTGAACGGCTTTTAAGAATATCGCACAGATTTCACGCGTTTTACATGCTACATGTGAGATGATCAGCGCCGATTTACGATGATCATAACTGGTTTGATAGTATTTTACAATTTACAGCAAAATGATTTTGATATGCTTTTCTGTACGACAATGTGTGTATATATATATAATTAAATATAGATAATTAGTTCCCCTGCTGATTTAAATCTAAATATCCGTATACTTGTTGATTCTTATGATGGATTTAACGAATACATCTAGATATGGTTAACACATTGGAATTTCCATCGCGTCTTGCTCGCGAATAATCTTTTTGTCGAAATCTCTTCGTTACAGGAATCAAATAGTGTTCCTTTCAATTGCAACACAAAAATGTGTGTGATTTGTTCAAACATTCTAACTTTCGCTTAACAAAAACGAGAGCCTAATGTTTACTCTTGCAATTGTGAAATTTCTAATAGAAAGTAATGCAAGTAGTTATTATAATAATTGTGAGCTGAGTTCATAATACATTGTTAATCATTGTGTTCTGAGAAGAGACGAATTTATATGAAGAGTGCCATGTAGGCTATGAATAACATTTTTAACTTACGTGCAGGGATACATTGAAAGTACAGGCCGTTTCTCGCACGACATTGCAGGAGTGTTCACAAGCATTCTGTTGATAATTTTATGCGATACCATAAACTATAATTTTTCATGTGCATAAAATGTTTGTTTGAAATCAAAGTATTATTCCTCTTCAGGAAGTTTTCAAATTTTAGAAACATTTCTTTCGCGACTCTTTAAATTAATTGAAGATTAAAAATATACAAGTTGAACATAAATAAAAAATTATCGCTAATTATAAATTGGACAAATTCGTAATAGAAGTGAAACATCGTGTAATTTTTCTCGCAGAATATTAGTGTACCTATACATAATTGTCAAATTTGCAAGAAGTCGAATATCAGGAATAATTCGCGAGTGTTTCGCAATCTCATGAACGAATGTAATCCGTGTTTGCTTCAAGACAGCGTGCCTGCATCGCTTTAAATAATAAAGCGGCGCCGGACATAATTGCAAGCCGTAATGTAATAAATAATACGGCGCGGCAAAGACGTGGATTACGACGTATAAAACGTACGATAGAAGGTGCATAATTAGTCTGCGATTGCGAGCAAATCAAGTTCTTTGCTACCGTTACGAATCCCGCGAAATGAATGTGGTGTAGTCTTATTTGATAGTATTGAGGCGATATAGAGATCTCACTCTTTTGACGTCTACGCGCACACATGTAACACATTTGACAGGATAGAGATTTATTTAACAATTTACCTGACGGATTTGTCGTTGTTGACTTTTTCAAAATTAAAATTTAAGTATAAATTTTAATTTATACTAAAATTGAGAATATACTTGAATTTAAGTATAAATCAAAAGTATTGTGTTTCTCTTTCGTTATTTTCTTGTACAGATAATAAAAATCAGATGAAAAAAATCTTTTCGTTTGGAAAAACATAACAATGCACAAACGGTTAGTGAGACAATTGAAAATAAAGAATTGAACAAAATATTAGCCAACAAATAATACTTTTTATTGTGTTAATAATACTCAAATACGATCTTGAAAAAATGTAAAATTATGAGAAATGCCCAGGTATTATACTAATGATGAAGAGACGTACGTTCTGCGAGTGAGATGCATAAGCATCTTTAACTCTCGTTGAATCCTATGCGCGTTCACTCTCTCATACCTTGACCTTCCTCAACCGGGAAGTCAACAGCACCCTCGGGGAGTACGTACGAGCACGTAAAAGCGCATGTATAAACGTGTCCATTATGGCACGTCGGCCGACACGAATGTAATTTCAATGTAGTTCATTTTCAGGCGCCGAGAAACTAGCGCCCATTATTACACGTTTGTGTAATTAAATAGATAATCAGTTCCTTCCAATTAACATTTCTAACGGTCTGGAATATCTTGTCATCACATTAAAAAAAGATGAAATGGACTTCTTGCAACGTACTTTCCATGACTATTTATTTATTTATATGTAATTTGTTTATTTTTATTGCTATTGAATAAGATAATTCATTACGGTATTTCTTAGAATGTGCACTGAGATATGCTCTACATAAATCCAATTTGTATTTTTTAAATACATATATATATTATATCTTTTTAGTTACTTTTATATATTTATTTTATGTTCCGTCTTTTCGCAAACATATCATTCCATTTCTTATTCCTGTACACAAAGATATTTCAGTATTCGACATCATACGTTCGTCTCAATTTTAACTATATAGCATATATTACCTGATGAGAGCTGATTCGCCGAGAGCACATCATCCTCCCCCGGTTGAAGACGTACTTCCATTTTTTTCAGACGCGAATGTAGATCTCTCGTGTGTAGAAAGAGAAAGAGTGTACTAGATATCGCTACTAAAGCGATCAGCTCGATCGTCCTGTAAGAGAAAAAATTATAAATCGATTAATACGACATTACATTATAATTTTACGAGTGTATTCAATAACATTATATTAATTTTACGTTATTATTCATTTCTTCAGCGTTATTCAATTTTTTTCTCAACTTGCAAAATATTACTTTTCTTTTTTACGCGACAAGTGGTAATATCTGTTCGATTTGCAAACAATAAAGAATTTGTAACAATAATGGATGGTGATATTGCAACGCCGAGAGAAGCAAGCCCTTTCGCAAGTTAAATATTACAAGCCGATCGTCATCTGGGTTGGTAGTGAGAGAATCAGGGCACGGCGAAGCCATCCATCTCGTAATTGGTCGTCCCGTCTGGGAGATGATGTTTCTCTGTATGACCTGGTTCTTGGAGAATACTCATCGACCGTGAAGCTTGACGGTCGCTTCAATTTCGCGGGAATCGACGCAACAGGTGCATCATTTGTGCATACCACTTACATTCGCATAAATATGATTAAAGTGATGATATGTTAAACTATACATATGCATACGGAAAAGTCATGGAAAATTCTTACCTTTCCATAGACCTGGTAGATTTGTTTGAAAAAGGTGACCTATCTTTAAGAATATAGTCATTTTCAATTGTCATCTTCGACTACTGTGATATATGAAATGTGATATGTCTTATAAGATCTTTGGATTTTGTGGTATATAAGCGTTACTAATTAATTGCAAAACGTAAAAGGCCGTGAAGGAAAGGCACTGCAATGCGTTATTAGCTTAAGGCCTTTTTCTGTATATTGTTGCCCTGGAGCCCTTCCGTTTAACAAGCTGTGTAATACACACGGGCAATAGCAACGGCATCGCGAATCACCCCGTGATAGCAGTCGTTATTCGTACGGTATATCATAAATAATGCAATAAACGTTGCATTAACGCGATACAGGCGGCGCACGCGAGACCATTGTAATCGATTCCTTCCACGATTATGAGTAGCAAGATTGCGCGATGCAATGCATAGTAAATCGCGAAGCGCTTTTATTATCGAGCTCACCGGTAATCCTCGACCTCACAAAGAAAGCATGTATAAAGAGAAATAATTGATTTTCCTCGTGTCGCGTTCGTCAGCGATCAACCTGGAAGAATCATATCGGCAGTCACGATTAAAGAGCCATGCCGAAATGAAATTCGTTCTAAATATCTCAATATTTTTTCCCTATCCGTGAACGTATCGCTATATAATCTCTGATCTCCAAGTCTAATACCTGATCTCATGCGACCGCCTTAAGAATCTCATCGTCCTACATACAACTTTGACTTTGAATACGTCGCTTATTCTGTAATTTGATACAGTTGCGATGTAATTATCTATACCGCGATTACAGCTAGAATCTAATCTTTATTTTAGATACGTCTATGCCGTTGTACGGGAAATTGAGTATTTCTAGAAAGACTTTCATTACTTTAATATATGTATGAATAGACATATATTTATAAATATACAAAAATTATTAAAATATTAAAATTATTCAATAAATATCAAGATTAATCACAAGAGAGAGAGAGAGAGACAGAGAAAGTGAAATGAATCTTCATTATCATTACTTTCATATCAATTTTGTATACTTCGTGTGAAATGATAGAGGAATTTTACATTGGTTACATTTGCAATTGTAACATTAACTAAAATTTTCAATGTTAACGTTTCACTTCTACCATAATTTCACGAATAATTGCAACTTGGAAGGTAATTGCACTGCCATTGAACTGTCGCATAATTTTGTCATTAGCGCATAGGAATCGAATAATTCAGAAAATACAAATATTTATAATTTTTGAATTTAAGAAAGTTATCACCAGAATAACCTAGTTTCTAGAGAAAGATTATTATTATGTATAAAAACTTTTTCTAAGACAAAAAAAAATTACATAAATTTATATTTAATTATACGTCTTGATAAATTTCGTATTATTCACGTTACATTCGTCAATCTTCTTCAGTTTCTTAGATAGAGATATGCGTGATTGAATCATTGTCTTGCTTTGTTTTCCGTTCTTGAGTTAATTTTTTTATGTCGTACAAGCACTTCATTACAATGAAAAGTCGAATAAGATTTGCAAATGCTTACCGATATTTGACTTAAATGCTTAACTGAAACCTATAAATATCCTAAATAATATATGTATGTCAGCCACATAGTTGTGGTTAAATCAGATTTATAAATTTGCAAAATTTATTTGATTCTTTTTTTATGCTCACATTACGTATCTCCAGTACATACCTACTTTGGATACCAGTTTTGGAGATTTAAAAGATATTTTCATTAAACACAAGAAGAATTTATGACTTTACGGTCTACTAAACGTCTCATTAGGAAATCTTAGGCATTAACCGTGTGAGATGCTAAGTATTTCGTGGGAAAAGCCCTGAAATCCTTCCAAAACAAATGCGATGCAGAGATTTTCGTCCGCTGCATTAAAATGTAATGGGTAATTAGTGTTCTTGCGATTTGACAAGATCCAAATAATTTTACAAAAAAAAAAAAACGACATATTTTTACAGAAAAAAGATGGAAAATGTTAAAATGTATAGGTTTTTACTGATTTCATAAAAACTTTAAACATTATTACATACGTATAGAATCAATTATTTTTTTTTTTTTAATCGAGCGTTGACATTAAGCATGCAACATGCTAATGTTATAACATTACACAAAAAAAAAGCAAGAATAATATTATACTTTTCATTATTCGTATTTTTAAAAAAATCCATGCATATAAAATTTTAAATTAAAAACATTCTAGAATTTCAACTAATTTGAATTAAGTTTTTCCAACGCTTTATAAAGTACTTCTCTTGAAAAACGAAATCATGCATATAAGATTTTTAATTAAAACATTCCAGAATTTCAACTAATTTAAATCAAGTTTTTCCAACGCTTTTATAAAGTACTTCTCTTAAAAAAGCAAAATGAGATATTATATTCATGTACGAGTATTAAATTTTTTTTACGTGTGAGTAATCGAGAATATCTATAATTTCTCAAATTATCCATAATTTGATTCCAGCAATTTGTGTATGTATACGCAAATCACTATCTTTCGCCATAATCCGTCGCGCTGATGCCGCTAGTTTCCTCGAGGATATACAAGGACGTTCTCCAGTATTTCATCGAGGCTCTTCCGGGCTTATCGGCGAAACGTAAGCAGATCTACTCGAGGGAAAAGCGAGAAACGAACGGTATCGTTCTGGCAAGCGCAGTGTCAACGACACACGGAGAGAAGGGAACCGTAAGCTCTTCGGAACGCGTTTATATATACCGTAACGGGGTATATAAAGGAGCATACCGTATACATATACCTTGTGTACATAATAGCGGACGCGTATCGGAAATCCAATTGTCCCGCACGGGTGAGAGCATCGCGTGTAGGTATTCGATTCTCGAAATGTGCCAGCGAGAACCGATGGCAAGAATGTTCAAGCGTTAGGAATTTCTATTCCAATGCGCGAGTACCTACGTGCCGTTGGTTAAAGAGGTTTACGGGTCAGATCGTTTGATACTATTGCGGCCTAATTTTTCAAATTGCAGATCATATCCTACATAATGTATATGTTGCATAAGATACCTTTTAAATATCTTATGCAGATATGTTGTCTGAGGAAGGTAATAAACGAGGTAATAAGCAAGCGATAAACTGTGTTTGTGCGCTATAATGATCTTCTAATTTCTTAGTAGGAAAATGTGTCCTAGTAACAAAAAAAAAAAAGACAATTTTTTCTCAGATGTACCGTTTATATTAGAATTTTATTACACTGTTTTGCGTTAGATTATTATAAATATATAATTGCGGGAAATGATTGTTGTCTTTTCAAATGATTTATTTTAGCGTCCGTGTGAAACAGGAAAGAGGAAATAAAACGTCCCTGAAGCGCTCAGACGCATTCAGACGCGTGCAAGTTTCTTTTGATTGTACTGTTAATTTCATTAAATTTCTTAAATGTGTTTTTCTCAGGCTTGATCTTACGTTCTGATATATACCATAGAAAAATATCTACGATTATGGAAGAGGAATGATCGTGCGTTTTGTTTTAATCTTTCGTAATGGATCGTGGTAACGTTGGCAGACGCAACACAAAGCCGCGAGGCAGCGCAGAGATTCGTGCTGAAATTGCAATGCAACTTTTGATCGCGGTCGATGCACCTTCCGACAATACTGCTCGTTGCAATACAACGACCACAATTGACTTTAACGAGCGCGCGTATATGATAAATTATTGCCGTCGCTACAGCCGAAGCCGTATTCCAAAGTTAAAGTTCCTCGAAATGTGTATCTACTTCATAAACTCTCGGTACGTTCATTCAATCCGCAACGGATTATTTTATATAAATATACAATTTCGTCACTATTTCTCTTTTCATTATTACACTTTATTTAACGTCGCAGAAACAGTTAAACTGTACGCACGGGATTCGTTTCATTAACATGCTGCTTCTTCAATTATACATTTTTTTTATTCGCGGAGGTATCTTTCAATCCAGTTGAACGAGTTCCTCGGTGCTTTTGTTGGTGAATGTGCCGGATATCCCGATCAATTATGATATCTTTCAAGGGTCACAGATTCTCTTCTCTACAATCGGTGAAGAAAAACGCATCTGCATATACATATATCCAAAGTTAACCGCAGGTAAGAAATTATGCGCGTACGCGCACGTCCGACCCATGTTAATTTGCGACTTTTTACACGCTTAAGCAGACATGCCCTCTGACATTATGCATACTTTATTAAATCAGATTTTACGCTTGACGTACAGCTGGCTATCTATAATATCTGTTGATATGGAGGAGGTTGTTTCTCCATAATGGAAATACTCTCGAATGGTGGGCAATCTTCTATATGGCCACTTAACGCGTATTATCGTAGTCACACTTAATTGCGTTGTATCCGCTCAAGTGCATTCGCGGCGAGCACTTGATATCGTCATGGAGAAGTCGGAAGTGCGAGCAGACGGGATTCCACGTGGCGAGAGAAGTGGACGATAATGATAGTTCGGATACGCGAGATCATCCAGGAACTCTTACTCCATTTTATGGCAGTGACACCTCCTCGCAATCTCGCGTCCCTCGGCCCTTCGGTCTGCCTACAGTTGCTCGCCTCATTTACGCAACGGGCCTCGTAACTTTTATTTATAGATGATGGAGATTCATTATCGCGAATACGCGCGATTTTCTCGATCGGGCAGCAAAATTCATCACGCGGGACGAGCCGCAGAAACGAGACAAATGGATCTTGCATTCTTGCAAACGTCACGATGGTTCATCACTCACGTAGCAGAATTCGTAATTATCAACTGTATTAATACACGAGATAAATGAAAGATGCGGAACGACGATGTTTATCGCATTGCGTAATTCCTAGTGTAAGCTGCAAAATTTTTAATTTATAAACTTCTTCCGTCATTACAAAAAAAAGGTCATATTTCATCAATGGCGCTGCAAATAAAAATTTATTCGAGAATAAAAAGATAGGGGATTATCGAACGTTTATTAAAGTTGAATATATTTCTCTGGTGGATTCCTTTTTTGAGAATAGCGCTTGAGAGTACAGATATTTTGCTAAAAAGTCAACATTAATTATATGTAGGTAAACAGTTGTCTAATCCTAATAAATGTATGTTATAAATTATCTACAATATTCTAAATAAATCTTATAAATAAATAATCAGAATTTGTTTCTCAATTAATCTCAAACTATGCGTTTATTTTCTATGTGCGTTCATTTCTAATTTACGGCATCTATATATACTTAATTACAAATCTGACAGACGTTTAATTTATACGATTCTTAATTATGAAATGTTTATACATGTAATATTGAATAATTACAAAACTTGATATAATATGTTGGAAGTAGAGAACGCGGAGTGTCATCTTTAGATCTATCTGTTGGAAAGGAGTCCTATTTACCGCATTCTACAATGTAGACCACCAACGTTCGTTTATGACTTATAACTTCACGCGTGCTTGAGGCTTGAGGAGGTCAATCGCAGGAGGAAATCACCGGCTGATAAACCATACATTTGCATACGACATGGAGCACCCGAGAATCGACCATTCACGATTTTCTCGCGCGGCTCGCATTATTTTGCCATGATAAATCGATTTGTCACATGTCCAGCTCATTGCAAGAGTCTTCTTGGTCGCGAGACCTTTAACTTGTTAGCTCGACCCTGATCCCGACGCAATGTTTGGAGGTATGCCTTTCTTGCCGCTAATTTGATATTCATTTCAGAAGTAATGACATATTCATGAGACGGAATAGGTATAGAAAATCTTACGTAAAGCCACTCATTACGTCCCGTCCATATTTTGTGTCGCAAACTTACGTTTACGTACATATAACTGATAAAAGAATATCTGAATACTGAAATAAAGTATTTTTTGCAGTCATCCACTTTCTTAGATTTACTGTGACATGTAGTGTAAATTATTTAGAATAATCTATTATTGATGGCACAGCCAGAAAGGTCGATTTTTCGATACAAGATAGATTTTTTATAAAAATAAAATTTTTTTATACTTTTCTCTAAGAAAAATGTATACCAAATCACTTTGTATGTATTAGATTCATAATTTTAAGAGAATGTTTGAAAATTTATGCCTCGTATAATATCTAAAGACCATCAATTATAAACTTACATTAAAATTACTTAATAGTGAAATACATCGCGTTGGACCAATGTAATTAAAGGTAAAAGGTAATTTAAATTAGGTGAGTAATTTAATACTAATAATGTAACTATTTTTCATATTTAAAGAAGAATACAACAATGTAACGTTTTCATTATACCTATGAGAGATTTGTATAAAATTAATCGTTCACTTTCTAACTTATATCCATTATGCTTGTACCTTTTAAATTTTATATTATGAAATCCAGCGATGCATAGATTATACGATCGTTGCATATTCGGAATTCATATGTTATTTTCTAAAAGAAATTAGTATTACACAACCTAGCTACTGTCTGAAATTTATATATCCAATTTTATATTCGTATTTTCTTCTGTATTTTACTCGTTAACGATGTTAATGTATTGTCTTTTGAGAGAAAGATTGCGTAAAACGATTTTAAAAATAAACAATAAGATTTCTTTCGACTTTCTTCTCTCTCTCTCTCTCTCTCTCTCTCTCTCTCTTTCGTCAAATGTTTAATTTTGAAATACAGAAAATAGAGACGGTAATATATTCTTTACGTTCTGTTATTTATTTCGAATATTTTTATACGTGTAATATACCTGTGGACATTAAAAAAATTGAATTTAAAAAAGAAAAAAAAAATAAAATAAAATCACGCACGAAAAAAGCCTCGTTCAGCGATCGAGAAGGTAGATGATCGCTGGTTGAATTGAGTCACCACAGTGTACTTAACGGTTAAATACTTGGGCTCGTTATAGAGGATATACGCCGGCAAGATACGGTATCCCTTCGTGCACTCTCATGCTGTATGCGCAGATAAATATTGATAACATCGTAGATGTTAATCGTACGCGCGTATAATTAGGCGCCTTCAATCGCGTTCGACATAGCCCGAGATAGCCTCCTTACCTCTTGGGAACGGGCACTCTCCTTTGCCGCCACATGTTCTCCTTCGGCATCCTGCCACTCCTTTCGAAAACCCGGTCTTTTCTACACAAATTCTTCTTGGCGGCGATCAAGCGATATCCTAGGAGATTGCGGTTGTCACGTGCGATCCATTGGAGAACGATTTGTCATCATCGGACACTTGTGTCTTTCGGCGCGCGGATGCTGCCGAGCTTTGACAATGGCCACTCATAAAGTCCATTCACTGAATCACTGCCGAATGACAATGACGACAACGACGGTCCAACAATGGAGGAAAAAAAACGCTCGTCTACGTGTCAGGTGCAAACGTCAGCCGTTGGATTCCCGCAAGCGAGCGATTTTCCCTGTCGATCAACACCCGCTACCGGGTCAACATCCTCGCGCGGCGCTGATCGTGAATAATTTCTTTACGATTATCGTGACTGCAATTCAAATATATTTCGTTCAATTCGAATCGACGGCGGGACCGGTTCGTAGATTCGTACAGGTTTCGGATGCCGAAGCGCGCGTGCGGCGGCCGTCCCCGTGGATGTTTTCAGTCATCGGTCTTCCGACGAAAAGAAAGGTAAGGTCGTGAGAAGATGCAGAAGTAGACGAGAGACGTCCGCCCGCTCGATCTCCACCGACCTGTCTGCTGGCCGACACGCGACTGACGCTTTTCTTCGCCGTTTCGGAGCCGCCTCGGTGCCGCGTGGACGCGAAATACGAGGAGACGACACGCGATACGCTCTATTCCGCGTCCGCTCTCCGTTACTTGGTGGCACGTAATGCCGCGATTCTACTCCACATTCGCCGTGCCGTCCTACGCCGGGCCTCCTATTCCGTGGCCGCTTCCACCACGCGTCGCGACGCATCGAGTGAAGGGAGGAAGCGCTCGTTTTCAGAATAAAATTAGGCGATTGGACTTTTGTTTGCGAGCGTTCTCTCTTCGAAACGCGGGCACATAATGTTGTACCGAGTGATCGGGTTCGAGCATACGTTTTTTACATAAGTGACACATTGCACAAAATATACTTG